TATTATCACTGTAAATACATAAAGGAAGTACAACACAAGGATAGGACTACAGTGTTACATCCTAAAAGGGTATAGAAAAATTGTTTTCCAGTAAGACCATAACAGTGTGCATTAAGCATTGTATCAATTAGTGACTGAAGCTTTTTCGTCTAATGATCAGAGAGTGAGATAAAGTTGTCATCATAGTCTAATATTTGCAAATTCCAAAGATTCTGATTCTGCTTTCAAGAGTTGGTTTGTAAGGATTAGATTTGTTTTGACGACTTGATCACGGATTGATGTCAACTCGTTAAAACAAATCTAATCCTTACAAACCAACTATAGAAAATTAATCTGATGCTCACTAGTGACTTGATACAGGAAGGAGTTTCCTGGAGTTCTAGTGAGAAGTCGTGACCAGTGATAGGATTTCCCACCGATGACATTGTTTGGTGGTCGCGCTAAATATCATGAATCGGTAGAAGTTAGAAATCATGGGCCATTGAATCGGGTCCCAATGGCTGAATGGTATACGAGCTTGCCTTGTGACCGGAAAGTCCTGGGTTCGAACCCCAGTGGCTGCGTACTGCCGATGATTCCAAAACTAGGATGAAACAGCTGTCCAGTACTCCTTGGTTTTTAATGGTTCTGTAACTGATATCAATCAGTGATCAACTCGTCAAAATAATTCTGATTCTGATTTTTTTAAAGTATGACAAATTAGTTGAACTACATATTCGTGTAAAACTGATAACCAGTAATTGGAGTGAATTTACTGTGAACTTTCTTGAATGAAGTGAATGTTCATGCCTTAAAGTTCAACTTCCTGATTCTACAAATAACGGATGCAAGTCTGAAATCATTCATTCATGATGTAACCTTTTGAATCATTTAGAAATAAAGTAAATATCATTTTTCTCTTCAGTGTTGCTTTTAGTGAACTAGTACATAAAATATTGACAAACCAACCAAAGTTTGATCCCCAGTCAAGTCGTCAAATTTATTTGTTTTTTTAAAAAAAACTTACATATAAACAAACGGCTAAATATGGTGTAAAATATATAAGGGTACATGTATCTAGTGGCTTCTGTCTATCAAAGTATTTTTTATTCAACAAATAAGTGAATGTGTCAGTCTGATTAAACATGCACTTAACAGTCAATCAGTCAGGAATGGATCATTTTTTACGTAATTTGAACCATGAACATGACAGCACGGAAGATAAATCTGCTATACTGAATTATTTGTAATTTTTTTTGTCAATATGGAAGGCATCTGTAAAGTTGTAAAAGTAGTAATTTATTATTCAAAGAATTTGAATTTTTGAACTAATTTGTTTGTAAGCAATAATTAATAGTCAGATTTACCAAAAATTTCGGAGTCTTTAGTTGGAGATACAGTCAGCATTTCTAAACAAATTTATGCAAATTTGTATACAACAAGAATAAATTATTGACTGCTTGTAAACCATTTTATGAACTTATTCTCTTTTTTAGAAATGAACTTATGGACATTTCAGATTGAATTCACCCAAGGATAACAACTATCTTATTGTTTTTTTTTTTGAGAGGATATCAGGTTCGGAGTTTGAAGTGTTCAAAACACTTGGCGAAATGCCATTTCGGTGTACCGCATGCTACTGACAAGCACTTGTGACTAGTATACTGGTGACGTCTTCGACAAGAATCTCGACTATTGGAGCGATGGAGTAAATTCCAAAGTGGAGAAATGAAGTCGTTTTGGAGCAGTATACAAGGCATGAAATGAATACAAATAGGTTTTTCCGAACTGAACATCCAGTGTAGACTTTTGTATTTTGCAATTACTGTATGTCAGTACGTTAAATAGACACTTCTGCCTCCAGATGCCACTGTGTTCCACTGTTGCCTAATATAGTGCATAAGTACTATACTTTGACTGGAAACTAGGTAGAAACTAGTGTCTTGAGTCTTGTCATTTGTTTGATGCTGACTAAATTCTATCAGTCAACTCTGCAATGTAGTCAACATGTTAGCTAGCTTGCCAACATGCTGTACTCTGAAATGTTGCAATCAGATGGTAGGAGTCAGTCGGCATGAAATCTTGGACCTAGGTTTCATGCTTGACTTCACAGAATTCAGTCGTCACCAAACAACAGACTATACGAATGACAGTGGTTACTACCTGGTGTCCAATCAAAATATTTGATAAAGTCCTACAGGAGATCAGTCTTGAGTTCGAACAGCAGGTTCGAATCTCGGAAGGGACATGAGTTTCTTCAAGACTGCAGGAGCGCCTTGCTAACTGGTCAATGGCAATCAGCACAAAACTTAGGTCCAAGGCCTACTGCTGATCACCTCCAACCATCTAACAACATAAGTACTAAGTTCCCTAGGTCATGATAATTAAACAGTTGGACTATAGTTGATATAAATCAATAATGACAAAAAGGCTGAGAGTTAACATTTCTTTTGAAATAAAGACAAAATGCGTCTTTTGTATAAATCTTCATAATATATATTAATGCAATGATATCTGATAACGGGATAAAGAAACAAAGTATGAAGATGTTACATCTCATACATGTAAGAAATAATTGATTTCAATTTGACGTTTCACAGAGATGTGGAATTATGAAAGATACTAACATTTGTGCCGAAAAAGTAGTAATTATTCTTGAAAATCGTAGATGGTTTGATGAAGTTACGATGCCTGCAACAATATTGATTCTTCCTACGGTTGTTACATCAAAACATCAAACCAGTCTTAATGAGGAATTCATGAATATTTGTCTAAAACTGAGCTAACAGAAACAATAAGTGCACTGAATGAACCATGTACTCAATCAAATAATCAACCATCATTTGATTTTCCTAATCATATAAAACAATCCTGATGGAACAACCCAACACTATTGCATGACAATGATGCTGTCAACTATACTACTGATTTAACTGATCTGATTTTATTAATAGTACCAATCATACAGCTAAACAAAATATTTTCCTGTCACTTAGGCATAAACCTAGACAAACAGATGACACTGAGTAAATACCATAGTACAGAAGGGTATTTCTAATTCATCTGCTCAGTATATAACCTGTTCACTCAATCTAATTGTATTAGTCTTTAAAAAGCATAGTTCTCTAATAGTTGTCCTGAATATTATGGAACAGAGAAGCACTAGCAGCTTATAGTATAAGAAAAAAGGGGATGATAATGTTGATTTATGACAAAAATGTATTTCTGACATTTAATCAAGATGATCTACACACACATCAATCATTTTATTTTCATCCACAAAGTGTTACATTCGTTCTCTACAGGTGAAGGTCATTTGTACTCATGAGTTTTCAAAAAATGTTGTTCATTCATACTTGATAAATGCTTACAGTATAACGTATCAGGTTATTTGCTCACTGAAGCTTCGGTCTTAAAACTACTTACAAGATATGAAATGTTAAAATGACAAAAAAAACACATTAAGTACCAGTTAAAAGTAAAACGACAAAACCGCGCGAACTTGAAAATATCATGAAGTAGGCCAACAGTTTTTTCGCAAAACAAACCCGTCCCAAATACATTTGTAATCAATGAGAAAATAAATGTTGTCTCTTCTTATTTTGTGAAGTTTTCAACTTACTTTAGTGAAACAGCTTTTCATTATTTTTTAACGCAATATCTCCTTAACAGTGTCGTTAAATCTCTCGAAGAGTGTAGCTATGCTTAAACATGATATATACATACAAAGTCGAATTTCATTGATCAGGGATCACATTTTGCTGTCTTATTTTTGTTCTGTCCACGTGTGGTAAAAGTGTTAAACAGCTGACTGAACTATAAGAAGTACTCAAATTTGTGTACATTATAAACTGAAGGCCTAGACTCTAATTTAGGGTTGGATTATTTAATCATATTACTGCCGACTTCAAAGCTAAAACGCCTTCTGATTTTCTCTGATATACAGTCTCGTAGTTTAATGGACTGTTAATTTTTATGCAAAACTTCTTCAAAGAAATATCTTCATATAAAAACACTGACAGTGCCATTTACCTCAGAATTATAAATATATACCTGATTATAGCACAATATCCGGTGCATTAAAAAAATGTGTTACTTTTTTTTACTAAAGAAACAGAGCATGTAGGTAACAAACGGCGAAAGCTTCAGCAATGAAAAATAATAATGTCAGCTACATTCTTCTCTGTCCACTGAAAAATTGCTTCTTTTTTTAAAATAAACAAACATGATACATTGGTTTGCTAAGATTGTTTTTTAAGATCTTTAGGCTCCATAAATGTAAAAACTATGTGCAGATAATGTTACCTTGATATTCTTTTCAAAAACTTACAAATGTTAATATATGATGGCCGGGGAAATGTAATGCATAAAAACAGATTTTATCAAAACAAAAGTTTTTAGTTAACCTTTTTTAGCAATTGATTTATAACTGTTTTTCTTCTTCGTCTTCTTTTGTGTTTCGCTAGTAAAACAGGCGGTTAAAAAACTCATAACGCAGTTTCACTTTGTTTCAGTATGATACTAGCTGTATGTAGTTGGAAAGATAATCCTGAAATCTACATGTAACTAGTTATTAGGTGGAAAGTGAATCAAGGTCATAATTCTAAGAATGATTTCAAACCTCATTAGGATGTCTGCTGTTACATCTTTTTGTACTTCTTTACGTTTCCAGTGGAACGTAGACTTCAGGCTAGAGCTTTCAAGTTTCCGTAGCAGTGGTATTTATTTTTACGGGATGGGGTTGCCAGCCTCATGTCAAACCTTCCCTCTTTAAAGGTCTTATTACTGGTTTACCAAGGTAAAAGAGTGAGTCAGCCGAGGATCGAATCCCGAACCACATGAGTGATTGGCGAGCATTCTACCGCTATGCCACTGACACACTGCTGTTGCACAGTGGCAAAAAAAGCAGCTTTAGTACTTCCAACCTTTTTTTAAAGTGGTTTCATCCACATCGTTTATTTCTTTCTATACTTGCTTTTCATAAATAAACGTTATTCAATTCCAGTAAGTCAGAAACTTACATCAGCCATCTCTTTTAACAAATCACGATTGGCTTTTTCATCTGAATTGTTTAATTTCTTGGCTGAACTACTTCGTTTTTGAGTTGTTTTAAGTTGAGAAATAGATGAAGAAGAAGATATGCTTGGCATTTCATTTGAAAGACTTGAATCATTGTCAAATGTTATACTGCGAAATAACGGGTTTTTCTTTCTAGACTGAAACATTTCTTTTGCTTTTGTATATTTTAAACTAGATTTAGTTTCATCGTTTGACTTCAACTCTGTTTCACGGTTATCAATTTTAGCATTATTACGATTGTTGCTCACATTGTTGAGGTTAGTAGTATTATACTCCAGTTGCATATTTCTTTCCTTTGATTGTGGGGATACAGATAAAGCTGATGATATATTCAGTTGATTTGGTGAAACTGATCGTGGATCATGAATATAACGTGAACCACTGGCAGATAAATCTGGATCATTTGAACTAGTCCAGCTTGCAGCACTCATTGAAGAATCATATGATTCAAAAGACGGTTGTTGTGATACACGACTCACGGCTACTAAAGATGAATGTGCACTGGGACTTGGATTTAAAACATTCAGAAGACGTGGACTAACTGATTTTGATGTTGAATTTATATTTGCAGGTCCAGGATATCGTCTTGCTATATAATCAACGTTGGAGTGAAGTTCATACGGTACACTTGGATTTCCACGTAATCTTTGTACTGAATTAGAACGAGTGTCATAAGGTTCGAGATATTTACTTTCTTCTGTATGACTTTCATCCGTTTTCATTGAATGCTGTCGTTTTAAATATTGATCAGATCGTTTTTGTGATATTTGTCGTGACATAATCTCAAGTGTTTTGATTATTTAATTCACCATTGTGAATACCATCATCTCATCCCCTCAGTGAATGTCCAATGTGACAACAACTGTACTCAACATAAATATGTTTCAGTCATAATGATTTTAATACTTTACAGAAGATTAGGAGCTATAAAGGTTGTAGTAGCTATTCTAATCGTTTTTCTTTATTTTTTTTAAACACTACTACAATACTCTTCATGTATGTTTAGGTGCAAAAAAATATGATTTTATGTTTATACCGAACAAAACAAATTTACATGCTGTGCATACTGATTGGTTGAAATTTATTTTAAGGTTATTGTTGCTACCAGAAATCTAATTGGCTTTTGTGTTATTTTCATTTATATTTTAGTTAACCACTTGTAGGTTGGGCAGATATCAATATGACAGCTTATGTCTTATATAATAAGCTTATTTTGTGAATCTGTTAAATAAGTTATCAGAAAGTAATGGATACCGTTATATATATTTATATATATGATAATTACGCAACTGATCTAATCACAGTGGCAACACTTAGTTCAAGATAAGTTTACTTAAGCAGTTTCTACCAGAAAACAAGTGTTTTAGGTGGAGTTATTTGTCTTTTATTCCTTTGAGGGATTCAAGCTTGGGCTTTGAGGTTTCAGTAACATCGGCTTTATTTTTGCGGGGTAGGGTTTCTAGCCTCACATTCACCCTTCCCCCTTTATTGGTCTTAGTGCTAGCTAAGTGACCTTTAGCAGTGTGTTGGTCAGAGATTTAATCCAGGACAGCATGCATGGTTGGCGAGTATTTTACTACTGAACTATCAGCACATATTTAGGTGGAGTTGATTAAAAACACTATAATATATTTTCAGGTTTTATTCCTTTCAGGAAACACATATTCAAGAAAATCTTAGAGTATATTAAAAGTCAAAAGTGTCAACACTAGGAAAACTGTCACTTCAGAAATAATTCTGTGAATTGCAATTTAATAGACAGAAGACCAGTAGTTCAGCGAAGAGTCTGTTTTTCGGCGAATTCTTTTCCATAGCTGTACAATCGCAAATATATATGGTTGTTTTGTATGTGTGTGTACATTAAATTTGTCAAACGAAAATACAACCGAAGCCCAAAGGACAAGATCTCGCGCCTGACCCCTTCTATGTGTATATACCAGTTCACATGTTGCTGTGGAGCCAGTTACATCGGTCGTTCAACGCGCAACTTGTCATAAAGGGTCAAAGAACACTATCCAGCGTGGCTGCAGACAGGAAGTAGTGGCCGTATAAGGAGTGCAATAATCGAACATCCCGTCTACACTGGTTATTCCATTTCAACAAACGCCTCCTTCAAAGTAATCTACAAAGTGAAGAGCAACCTGCCAAAGAATACGTTTCCGTCTTCTTTGCATTGCAGAAGGCCTAGCTATTCAGTTGGAAGAACCAGAACTATGCATACAATAGAAAATTATTCAACCACTCCTACTCTTACGGTTTGATTTAACTTTTGTTTGTTTGGTTGATTTGACTCAACTTTTGCTTGTATGCTTATTTTTCTAACTACTTAAAACCATTGCGTAATTCCGTATATTATTTTGTTTCCATGTACACCCGGAGCACAACTCTTTCATCAAACTATTCACGTTATTACGTAACTCTTCTTTAACAATCGTTATTGACAACTCATCACTTTTGTTACTACCCTCTTATATCAACATCCAATTCATCTGAACCCCTTTTGTGCCCCGTAGCTCCGCCAAAAAATTGCTAATTGTATTTTCGCTTGACAAATTTAATGTACACACACATACAAAACAACCATATATATTTGCGATTGTACAGTTATGAAAAAGAATTCGCTGAAAAACAGACTCTTCGTTGAACTACTGGTCTTCTGTCTATAAATGTTCGAATGGGGATTTTTCATGAATTGCCATTTACACAGTTCGAGGTCAAATTCTGCCTCAGTTTTCTTTCTAAATCGACAGCAATTAAATCATAATGAGTGATCTGCTTGATACCATAAGTGACAAACAAGAAGACAAGCAAATATCCGTGATGCTGCGTATTTCACATCAAAGTGATCTAAACACCGCATGTCCGTTTCACTCATTTGAAACCAAGCTTATTGGCGGTGTACCTAGTTTTGATTGAATATAAAAGAAGGTTACAATAATTCTTAATAATTTTTATGAGACAGAACTTTTTAAGTGTCAAGTATCACCCAGCCAAATGCACTAGTTTAACAGCAGACAAGGGGTTTTACATATGGTAAACCAACTATTCATCAACTAAATAGTTTACAGTTAAGCAAAGAGTATTATATTTATCAAGTTTAGCTGATTATTTTCCGTTAGCTTTTTAAAACATTGAACGAAATTCTTATCGTCAGATACAGGACATTAAAGTTTGCAAAATAGATGACTCTGTGAAGTAGCAGTCAGCATGTATTACCAGATATCTACTTTAGTTACTAGGAGTTGCCTAAATCATCCACCTGTTACAGTCATGAATAATGTGGGCTCAGTCAAAGGCATTTTAGAGATAATAAACTTCGGTGTTGTGACTGGATGAAAAAAATTTTTTAAGTTATTAATGAAAACAAAACACGTAGATCGGCGAAGAGTCTCTTTTCGGTGAATTCCAAGAGACTCTTCGCTGATCTACGTGTTTTGTTTTCATTAATGCCTGGATGGAGATTATACATGAATTGAAACTTAAGTTATTGTATTCATCTTACTTAACATTACTAAAAATATTTCCATCATCAATGTTTTGATGATAAACACAACAAGTATAAAAATATCCTCAAAAACAGTGTATCAAGAATTTTGTCCAAAAATAGGTCGAAAGGGACTGGGACGCACATGACTTTTTCCAAGTATTTCCACACCAATACCCATCATAAAACTTATATTTTTTTAAATTCACATGGCGCCTCAAGAAAACCTTAAATGCTACGGTTTTATGTGAAAAAAAACCAGATTGGAAGTCTTCAGATAAATGCAAAATCAGTCAAGCATGCTGTGGAATGAAGAATCGAGTGCAAATAACTTAAGATTAAATCACGAGACTATTTTTTAATCGTCAAATTTAGTTTAATTCATAATGTGGAGAAGGTGAATCTTTAACAAACCTAATTTTTAATCACACCCAACAGGGTGCTTTGAAAAGCTCATCATTCTGCAAAATTAGTTAAATTTCCATTTATGCTTACTTCCCTATACAGATGCAGAATATATCCTTTTAATCTTTTGCGTCCTCATTGGAACATCGAATCTCAAGCTTCATCTTTGAAGTTTCAGTAACAGTGGTGTTTCTTTTACTGTGTGAGGTTGCTAACCTCACGTCCAACTTCCCTTCTCTGTCCGGATTACATCCGGTTAGGGGAGGTAAAGGTGTGAACTGGCCGGGACTCGAACCCTGGACCATGTGCATGGTCGGCCTGCACTCTATCGCATTGGAGCATATATATACATATTTTTTTGAATAACCCAGTGTCATCAACGCATCGATCACTTGTAATAATGAGAATTCATAATATTTCCTTTTTAAACAAACAGTTGACTCTCATATTGCATAATATATATGTTAGTTAGGTATTGCAAGTATAATTCAATTTACTTCATAATTTGCGTCTGAGGTATATTTGCACCAGATTATGTAATAATGTCAAATCCGTTCTTTTATGTGGATCACAGACTTGGAGCACACATCACTAAAAGCATTTCGAACAACTTGTTACTGACTCATCATCGAGCTGCGTTCACTAAATACTAAATATTACATGGCCTACCGGGAAAAATTAGCAACAAAGAACTCTGGCATGGAACCACCCATAAATCTATTGTCCAGTAGATGTGCCAATTAAAATGATATAGACAGGTGACCATTGCGTGACATAGTGTGCCAGGAATTTGAGTAGTACTCGAATAAGAAACGACGAGTTGGGTATCCGAGGGTGACACGAAAGAGACTACACAAGGGGGAGGAGGTGAGAACTAATGGGCAATCGTGGCGACAGGTAGAAGGGACTGCAGATAACAGGATGAAACGCAGATGTGCTGTTAACATCCTCTGGTTCACTCAAAACCCAAGGGATTCTAATAATATTAGTGCCTCTCTTTACATATCTTATTTGTCGGTACATTTTAGGAGATATTAGCTCAGATACCAGATAATCAGTATACTGAAAATATAAGAAGATTAAGAGATAAGAAAGACATTATCGACAATAATAAATCGGCAAACCTGCTCTCAATCCATTTTCAACCAAAAATTTAACCATTTCAAATATAAGCCATTTTAACTCCAATACAACATGTTAACCAAAAACTCTGAAAATATTATCCCTAACGGTTTTTACAATTTGCAAATGCTGCAATGATATTTACAACACAAATGTTACATTACAGTTGTTAAACAACAGTGTGTAAGTAATTAGTAAAGAAACAAAAACACATGGTACGGTAAACGTTGTTAAAATCGAAACACAATTATAGAAGGTATAGATAGGGTCACTTTCCGTTTTTATATTTCTAACACTGATTATGTGATTCTCAAATACTACTCTAACCACTCACTCAGGCTAATAATAAATGTAGATATTTGGTTTAAATACATGATTTCATAGTTTTATGAGCTGTTATAAATGGTTGTAAAAGGAAACTAAGTGAACATGAAGTGACTGTATATGCGTGAAACTAAAGCTTACTGATTTCCACTGAATACTGTTGAAATGATTGATTAATAGCTTTCTGTTACTCAAGTAAATTTATATGTGTATGTGCCTGAATACAGTCATAACTGTTATTCTTATACGTATTCCCGGTGATGCATAGTTCTGTGGGATGTATGTGTGTATATTTTACTGTAGAGGGTAATTCCGTCATGTAGTATTTCTCAAAAATACTGTAACTGCCACAACCCAAGTATTTTGATTTCAACTCATGGAAGTTATGGATGCATTCCTTTGTATAGCTGACCGAACCTCTGCGACTGACTCACAGTTCCTAAA